CTGGACTCCCACATGTCTGACCATGGTTCAAGTCCCAGACCTGGTGGCTTGCTTTCTCACTTTCTCTCTCTCTCTCTCTCTTTCTCTCTCTTACTCACTCACTCTGTCCCACCTCTGGTCAAATTAAAAAATAAAAATACATAAGGTTAAATAAAATAATTAAAAAAAAAAAAGAAATTATGAGAAAAATTTGATGGGGGCTGGATGGTCATGCAGTGATAACGTGATGCTTTGCAAGGCTGACACACATGGGAAGGTTCCAGAGACCCCCTCCCTGAGTGTTACAGGCACATGTATGCCCATGATCCAGGGCTGGCTGAGGCCAGGATGGTTCATGGCACTGTGACCCTGCTAGGGATGTTGCCCTCTGTCTCTCTCATTCATAGAAAAAATAAACAAACTTAAAAGACTTAAAAAATATTTTTTGCTACCTCTTATACTTAGAAGGCAGTCTTAGAGCAAAAAAAAAAAAAAAGAAAAAAAAATATATATAAACTGAACAGCTATTTAAAAGGATAAATAATGCTTAATCTAAATCTAGAAGTTTATATATGAACTAAAAATTTATACAAATTTCTTTTACTGCCCTAGTCATGATACGTGAATATCATCCTGTGGATAACAGCACCTATGTCATACAACAGTTGTAGGAATTAAATAGAATTAAGTAGGTGCCTGGTACAGAGTCAACACTCGTTATTGTCAACTATAATTACTATCATTATTTTACAATTTTTATAGGCAACATTCCCAAGGTCACATGACCCTGGAAATCTTTATTTCTAGTCATTCACTCATTTCTCTAGAGCATCTTATGGAGTTGAGGTCCTGTGGGAGAGGCTGACTTAGAGGATCCAGGTTGGGAAGGCCTGAAACGCTGCACCGGGACAACACAGTCACTGTTGCGTGTGTCTGTCCTGTGATATGGTGAGGGGGCAGGTACAGAGATGTGCTGCCTGGGGCCTCGAGGCTCGGATATTCTCCCTCTGCCCAGGGACGTCCACTTCCCAGATGTAAACCTGGGCAAGTTTACCTCTCAGTCTAGTGGGGGTACTGCTCCTGGAGCACACTCACCTTTTGGGGTTCCTAGAGCCCAGTGTCCAGTACTGAGACAGAACATTCTTTTCCTGAGGTAGTAGCCTCTTTGCCTGGAAGAACGTATGGTGCTCGACACAGGATTTCCACAAGTTTTTGCAAGATCGGTAATTTAGCATGTTGAAGGCCACGATATGTTCCCTGGATTCGGTCTGGGAGGAAAAACAGTTGAGATTCCATCTTATGGGTGTTGGAGCAAGGTCATGCAAGCATATTACCCACACTGCCAGCAACTAGATAAGATGTAACAGATAGCAGAAAACTGGCTTTGGAATGCCTTGGCCTCAAATCAGTTACTGGAATATTGAAGAGCAGGATTTATTAACCCTTTTTATTGTTAGCTGTGGTCCTTTATGAACACCTTTATTTCACACCTGCTAATATATATCTAGCTTGGATTTATCTGGAGCAACCTGATAAGGACTATCTTATACAGTCCTTTCAAGAGTCCGGTCTGGGAACATCTGTCTCTTGAAGAAATACTCTTTCACCTGTCAGACAACAGCAATTTTACAACCCTTTGGATTTCTCTGGGCTTCCCATAAAGCAGAGTTAAATCCCATGCTCATAAATAATAACTGTTTTCATCATTTGCTTTACCTTCACTCTAAGTGAGTTTAGATTTTTTGCCTTCATGTTAAATTGCCGTGCTGTGCATTTCTGTGCACCCTGAATCTTGCTCTAGGGGGTAGGGAGACATGGATTCTAGTCCTAGCTTGCTCTGAACTTTCAAGTTCTCCTTTCTCAGAGTTCCCTGCTATGTGGAGCCATTTACAGTACATGTTACCTTTGAAGAGTTGGGAAGCAGTGACAGTAAGTGAAAACCATGCAGCATCGGAGGATGAAGTGTAGTGTCATGCAAATACCTGGCATTTCAGGTCTGTAATGATCTGGTTCCAATTCCAACTCCTCTCTCTCTAGCTGGGGGAGTTTCAATCTCCCTACCTCCGAGTCCTACTACCTCCACGTGGATTAGCAAACTGATTACCTAAAAGGCTGTGGACTCCTCTTATGAGACATCATAAAAGCCATCATACTTTTTTTTAAGTTTTGTCATAGGGCATGTGCATAGTCTTTAGGGGTCTCTGCCAGGTACCTTAAAAAAAATTATCCAGAAGGCAAGTACGTTCCTCAGAGAGAGACAGAGAGACAAAGAGAAAGAGGGAGAGAGAGGGAGAGAGTATCCACCAATGGGGTGTGGTCACACTGCAATCCTTTTCCATCCTGTCCAGGATTTGAACCACAGTCAGCTATGTGCAATTTGCCTCCCTTAACCACCAGGCCAAAGAGCTGGCCCTGCCATGTGCTTTGGCGAATGCTCTTTTATTTAATCCTCATGATTCCTTGAGAAGTGAGCATTACTGCATTTCTGGAAACAAGGTAATTCACGCTAGGGGTGGTTAAGTAACCAGCCCAGTTGGTAGGTGGGAGAGTTGGGGCCTGAACCCACAAAAGCAAGTTAATTCTCCAACTACATAAAACAGAGTGAATTATCTAGAAACGCCGAATCCTCTGGACTCCAACCCCACTGTCCCCTGTCGTTTCTTCATATATATGGCAAAATGCTTTTCAATCCCTTAAAAAGCTGAAGCAACCTATAACACAAGAAACAGAACAAGGGTAGACTTAACGCACCTGTTTTTGTCGCTGATGTATAAAGAACTTTTTCCTTTTGAAAGAAATTTTGAGGATGTTCACCCTGTAAAGTATAAAATGAAACACAAAGTACATCAAGGATCAGCCCGGTTGCCACCGAGTCCACTTGATACATGTCGTCTGGTCCACGGTCAGGATGACTGGGGGCTCTCGGCTTCCTAGAGCTCACTTCCTTGCAGAAACGACAGCAGCCCCACCACCTCGGCCAAACACCAAGGAGCTGACTGAGGCTGAGTATCACGTCAGGGCCACGAGATTATGAGGTAGCTTTTAAATAACAGGAAGCACGGGCCATGCGCTCTCTTTGCTATAAGCTTCTTTTTCGACACTGCAGCTCAGTGTGAGCTGCTACAGACCTGGGAGGACTGCTGAGAGCAGCATGGAGCCGCAGAAAGAGGACAGACTCGGCCCACATCCTAGCTCTGTTACTTAACAGCTGCTGTCCAGGAGTTACAACAGTAGAATTATAGCCACCATTAACTGGGCATTTTTTATACACCAGGCCACTAAGAGCTTTACAAACATCCTCCAATCCTGAAAAGTACACATTGTCGGACTTAGTTTTTCAGATGGGGAAACTGAGGCACAGAGCTATCTCCTAATGTCCCCAGATCATTCAACTAGGAATGCTGAAAAGTCTTCTGGACAGTGAATCAGCACATGGCGTAATGGTTATGTTGCTGGACTCCCATGTATTCAACCGTGGTTTGAATCCTGGATCTGGTGGTTTAAAACTCATGCCTGGTGTGTTTGCGCGTGTGCCCAAAATCCCAAGGGGAGAATGGAGAAGGGACTAGAGTGTGGCCATCCCCACCGGGAGGGTGATTTCTTGCTTTTTGTCTGTCTCTCTGGAGAACACATGCTTCCTATAGCAAAAATCTCTCCAAAGAAGAAACAACAATAATAAAAAATTATAAATAAATAAATAAACATAATTCACTTCTGTCAAAGTACCCTAACTCATATAACAGAGGCATATTTTCCCACTGGAGTCTTTACTTTTCAGATATTCTGGAAAAATAAAGAAATTTTACTATTTTCTAGAATCAGATGACCTTGGTAAAACATTCTAGAACAAAGAGGTAGGGTAGGGAACATGCAAGTTTACTCATGATAGTTCCCCAGTTGAATCAGCAATATATCTGCATATATTATGTATTAACGCACAGCCATGTTAAATCATCTGTTGGCAAATGTAGCTGTGTGACAGGTTGACTTTTTGGGGGTGAGTGCAGGTTAATAATCTAAGGACTGGAACAATGCTTTGGTTCAACCCTTTTGGAGGTACTCTTTTTTTTTTTCCTTTTTGCTGTAGAGCGCATGTGCTCACTAGAGACAGAGACCAAGTGAGAAAGAGGGAAAGTGAGAAAGTACTTCCGGTAAATAGCCATCCTGCAACCCCTTCTCCATTCTCCTTTCAGGATTTTAGGCACATAGACACGTGTGTCAACATGGTTTTCGAGCTGCCAGGTCTGGGACTTGAACCACACAATTGGCCATGTGGAATCTATCTGTCTTAACTACCATGCCACCTGGCTGGCCCTTGCTACAATTTTATTTGAGATATTTATGGTTTTTTTTTCCTTTTATAATATTGCTGTGATGAACATCTTTATATCTCAGTTATGACGTTCTTTATTGCCAAGTTGAGATCCCAGAGTCAGACTGTTTGTGGCTCTAAATCTCTCACATCTCCTCTTTCCCCTAACTTCCTTTGCTGCTGGCATAAGTTTGCCAAAACTCCACATTTTTTACATACTTGTACTTTTGTTTCCTACCATCTGCAGCACTCACTCTCCTTAATTTAGCAGCAAATTTGTGCCCTCTCTATTCTGAACATGATTCCATTCTCATTAATAAAGATGGCATTGGGGCCTGCAGGTGGCATGGTGGTTGAGGTGCTGGACTCCGACGTCGCCAACCGCAGACTGAGTCCCAGACCCAGTGGCTTGAAAATCACATGGGACCTGTGTGCATGCATGCCCAAAATCCCAAGAGGAAAATGGAGGAGAAGAGATTGCAGCATGGCTATTCCCCCTAGGGAGTGATTTCTCACTTTCCCTCTTTGTCTCTGGTGAGTGTACACATTCTACCGAAAAAAAAATCAATAGTGTCTCCCAGAAGAAAGCTCTCTTATCTGGCACAAGGGGCTCAAATTTCTCTCAAAAAATCAGTTCAAGTCACAAAGCGGTAACAGCTGGCCTGCAGAAGTTCTCTCTTCCCCCGAGGCCCATGAGCTCATAGGGAAAGTACTCAGTTATCAGTGTCTTTGGGTCCCATTGGGGTTTAGAACAGAGCTTGACACTTGGTAGAAGTTCAATTAATAACTGAGGAATGGAAGTGAAAATACAGTTCCTGCCCAGAGAAAGTTCTTTTCTGAATTCTGGCCAATGCACTGTCCAGGAGGGAGGGGCTTTTTAATGACAAGACCTGCCTTTGCCATTTTACCCATCATGTTGCCAGAGTATTCCAAACCTTCAGGTAACTGGGGGAAAGAGAATGCTAAACAAAACCAAACTCTAATTTTCCCAGATACTAATTCTGGATCAGATCCAGAGGTCAGTGATAAAACTTGGAAGAAAATGTCTACCCATTCTTTAGAAATGAAAGTTTAAAATTAGCAGTAATGTTACTTTTGTTCAGCATATTTTTAAACATGATTCAGAAAATAATTAGAACTGTTTGCACTTACCAAGGATAGAAACTTGTGCAAATATATTTTCGGTACACAGCGATGCCCGCGGAAGCAATTCCAATCATTAGATCTAAATTGTGCAGATCCTGTAAAAATGAAGATCTCAGCTCCCAGCTTGATACAGGCAAGCTTCTGCCCTCTGCTAACTTTAAAGCACCCACGCTTTTATAAATAGCGATATGCATAAGCCTCAAACGGGGAAAATGTTACTGAAAAGAGGCAAAAATCTCCACTTAAGAGAGTACTTAAGACTCAATACATAGCATCAGCTTCTCCTAAAGGACCACACACTGTCTGTCAGCAACACTTGGGTCCTACCAGTTTAGCAAGGTACCATTGATAAGCCCACACGTTGCACAGAATCATTTAAATGAATATGTCATTTCACATTTTCAACCATCAGCATTAGACAACCACAAGTAAAATCAGAAAGGCCTCATCCCCTGCGTAGCTTTTTACAAATCCCAATGCCCATTACTGACAAGCTGATATGATGAGGAAAACTTAGACGTGTAGAACTGCTGACTCTAAACCCCATTAGGATACGAATGTGCTTTTATAAACACTACGTCCATCCTTCATCAAGAGCCTATGTGCTAGCCATGGCTCTAAACGATGACACAGAAGAAAGACACAGCAACCACAAGCTGTCCAAAGTCCATTTGAAAACAAGGTGAGGGGAACCAGCAGTTAGCTTAATGGTTGTCGCTGGACTCCCACGTAGTCGACCGCGGTTCGTGTCCCGGACCTGGTGGTTTAAAACTCACATCGGGTGCATGTGCATGCGTGCCCAAGATCCCGAGAGGAGAATGGAGAAGGGATTGTGGCATGACCATCCCCTCTGGGGGGGTGATTTCTTGCTTTCTGTCTCTCTCTGTCTGTCTGGCGAGCACACGTGCCCTAGAGTGAAAACCTCTCCAAAAACAAAACAAAACAAAACAAAACAAAACAAGGTGAGTACAAGTACATATTAAAAAAAAAACAACAGATCCTTCCCTTGGGTTACTGACATACCTGTTTCCCCAGTCAAAGCCTTGGATGCTCCTAATTATTAGAAAGGGACCAGAGTTCGAGTAAGCTACAACAGAGTGTGAGCCTCTGGTCTGCCACTTATTATTTATTTTGGGCTTCTGAGCCAGTTTTTCTTTTTGTATGATAAAGATTATAGAACTCCCCTGAAAGGGTTTTTACCAGGCTGAAATAAGAGATTATTAGTACCAAGGAACCTGGATCAGGGCTTGGCATACGCAGTTTGGCAAATGTTAGGTATAATCCACATGCAATCTCTTCTGTTGTGGGACGATAAATCATTTATGACCAGCAACATGAACAGAGGGAGGTAGAGAAAATGGAAAAGCAAACAGTGCTGATGATCACCTGCCTGGCTGAGATGCCCCAGGTATCAGAAGGCTGAGTTACACTAGGCTGTAGCACATGAACCAACCGCCCCTAAATCTCAATAGCTTGATACCACCAAGTGTATTCAGAGTAATTAGAAATCTGTATTGGGTCTCAGAATTTGAGCAGCATAATTTGCCTACTTTATGGCACTGTGGTGGGACTGAAATAAGACTCCTTATAAGGAACACGTTTTCAAGGACAAAGGTACACATAAAAGCAATTGGATAAATGACCAACAAAATTCTATGCTGCTTAATAAACCTTCCAAATAACTTTCAAAAAAGGTCCTGTTTGAGACCAGGCAACGGTGCAGTGGTAATCCAGCTGAGCCCACATGGGAAGGTCTTGGGTTCATGTCCTGGGGCTTCCCTGTGTATACCAGCTACACACGCCTGTCACCTGGGCTGGCTGAGCTGGAGAGTCTATTGCAGCATAAGGACGTTCTGGTGGGTACCTTTTCTCTTCACCTGTTTTTCTTTTTCTCTGTCTCTCTCATGGAAGAAATAAATAAACAGCCTTGAAAAAGACTGTTTGTTAAAAAGGAAAAATAGTTTCTTTCATCAATGAAGTTTACAAATTTTTGAAGATTAAAAAAAAAGTTCTGAAACAAAACAGCAAGGATACTTACCCTACCACTGTGCAGTTCTACTCCATAGAAGTCGAGGGTCCGAGCGATGTTGATGTAACATGATTCTGCTTCTGATTGCTTTAGCCCACTGTGGAAGACAAGTAAAAAAGTCAAGAGTTTACCTAACATACAGAAGATACTAGCTCTGATTTAAAAAAATTAAAAACCAAAAAAACCCTAGAAAATTTGATAATATTTCTGAAAGATAATGAAATGTCTTGAATTATCAATCTTAAACAGCCCAGCCCTAAATTCTACTAATCTAGCTTTGTCCTTTTATGCATTGAATTTGACTTTATCTAGCCCCTCATTTTTTTTTTAATTAAATAAAGCTTTCTGCTTACTGGACTTTCAATATTCAGAAATAAAAGACGGTCCCTTTTCAGAATTCTCACGCTACTTATCCAAAGTTGCTTAACTAACAGGTAATCTTTAGATCTTTCTTTCCTTACCTATCTGTTAGCAGTGGCCTCAAATTTACGAACACCACGGGCCTGTACTATTTCAGGAGGCTGACGTCTGCCCACGGAGTAATTCTGGGAGAGAGGTTGGCAGCACCTTCTTAGAAGGTCTGCTGGATGATTGGCCTTTGTTTTTATGGCCTTCCCAGCAGTACGAAGTCCCTTGAGAGCTGGCCTTCTCGGTCAGGGTGGCCCTTCTTTGACCTAGAAGAACAGCTGCTACTCTAGCTTTGAGTAAAATGAGGGAAGAGGAGAGGAGGCTGGAGCTGGGCTACGCGGAGCTGAGGCTTGCTTGGGGTCATAGTTGAAGACTGGTGCTGCCCATTGAGATGTCAGGCCGTTTTCATGAACTAAACCCAGGGAGCATGGGGGTCAGCCACCTGGTCATAGCATTTTATGTCCACCTGTCTGTCTAGTCAACAATGCTGGAAGGAATGGCTGGCTTTATTGTGGTAAACCACTAAAAGGTTGACTGGTAGGGTCGATTTGTGGGGGATCGCACATGATCACAGATCTCAAAACCGGCATTTCTAGGGCCAGCAGGTGGTGTAGTGGTTAAAGTGCTGTACTCTTACACGGCCAACCAGGGTTAGAGTCCCAGACTTGGCAGCTTGAAAATTATGCCAGGAATATGTGCATGCATGCCTAAAATCCCAGAAGGAGAAGGGATTGTGGTGTGACCATCCCTCCCACTGCCTTGGGGGTGATTTCTCCCATTCCCTCTCTCTTTGGCGAGCATGTGGGCCCTACAGAAAAACAAAAACAAAAACAAACAAAAAAAATTTTAAAAACAAACAAAAAACTGGCATTTCTTTCAGGAAGTAACTGATTTCAATGACATCCTAAAAAGGAATGCAGTCATCACTACCCTAAACTACTATTGGATTTTACTCTTTAAAGAAATGCTAGTTATATAAAATATGCCTGCCTCTATAATAGATCAAAGGTTCAAAAACCCCTGACATCTTGAAGAAAGATTCACGAACAGAAGAGGTCACATCGCGCACAAGGAAATACAATGTCTGAAAACACCTGGCCTGAGTTCCCGAAGCAGCCACTCCCTCACCCCCAGCCCTGCCCTCACCTGTGCTGTTCATGGAGAGATTCCACCTTCGTTAAGAAGTCGTCATTTTGATCTGGTATAAACTGACTATCAGAAAGGTAGCCTGGATGATGTATAGAAGAGTTATAGTCTCCAAAATGAGCTAACAAAACAGGAGGGAAAATCGTTAGTTTCTGCCTTGCAACGTGCATTTGTAAGAATTTATAGTATCATGAGAAAAACATTCATTGGAAATACTTTTTGGGTAAGTTTTCATATCACATGAACTGGAGCTCCCTACTGGCTCAGTTCCACACCTCCTATATGAACACCTGCCATGGGCTAAGTATGATCACACAGGATCTGACCAAATTCCCAAGGGCAGACAGAGGAAGTTGGGGAGTGCCAGAACCTAGTCCTATTCTAATACCGAACCTCTTTTGTATTCTGTGGTCAGCACAGTAGTTTGCACTCAAGTCTCTGGCTAAGGAAGAGAATTTGCCTGGGAAAATGCCACCTTCTGTATGCTAGGCACCATGCTGGCTCTTCCTGTATACCCCAAGGTTACTCTAATATCTAACCAACCTGCTTAAGAAATAGCATGGGCGGGACCAGGAGATGGTATAATGGTTACGTCACTGGACTCCCACATGGCCAACTGCAGTTCTAGTCCTGGACTCAGAGGCTTGAAACTCATGCTAGGCGTGTGTGCGTGAGTGCCTAAGATCCTGAGCGAATAGAAAGGATGGGATTGTGGCGTGGCCATTCCCCTTGGGGTTGGGGGGGGTGATTTCCCGCTTTCTGTCTCTCTGGGGATTGCACAAGCTCTATACCAAAAAACTCTCTCTTAGAGAAAAGGGAAAGAAATGGCATGGGCAAAGTGGGTCACACTGACCTGACCACTCTTTGCATCCTGACCAACCCCCTAGGATTCAGGGAAATATGGCAGAGAGGGGACCATGACATACAGGCTTATGGGCCATGGGGATGGGGTGGGTTGGGCTGAAGGGCCCAGGAAAGGCCAGTGGCAAGATTCCAAGGAGAAGGACATATTCTAAGGAAAGTCATAAGATGGGAAGAAAGATGCTGGAGCTGTTAGGGAATCACAATGGGAACCTTTAGCCACACACAGAGGGACTTCCAGACTGGTCCCTTGGCCAAATGGTACTTCTCCCTTGAAACTATCTGCCAACATGAATCACTGATATCTATCATGTGATGAGTATTCTTAAGAGTTGTGCGGGGGAGGCTGGCAAGTAGCATGGTGGCTAGGGGTGCTGGACTCCCACATGGCTGATTGTGGTTCAAATCCTGGACCTGGTGGCTTGCTTTCTCACTCCTCCCTTCACCCCCCTCCTCCCCCCGTCATCTCTCTCTCTCTCTCATTCTGTACCTCTCTGGTCAAACTAAAACAAACAAAGTTAAATCATAAACTAATTCTAGAAAAAAAAAGAGCTGTTCAGGGAATACCAGACGCCATAGTGGTTACGTTGCTAGACTCTCATGTAGTCGACTGTGGTTCAAGTCCCAGACATGGCAGCTTAAAAATCACGCTAGGCACGTGTACATGCATGCCCAAAGTCCCAAGAGGAGAATGGGGGAGAAGGGATTGTGGTGTGGCCATCTCCCAAGGGGTGATTTCTCACTTTCTGTCTCTCCAGGGAGTGCATGTACCCTATAGCAAAAATCTTTCTTAAAAAAAAAAAGTGCAGTACCCAACTTGCACAAGTGTACTTGGCTGCTCTGTGGACTCCAAATTACTTGGGTGTCTGGACTGTTGAAGAGACTCTATGCAGACAAGCTGGGAAAGTTTCCTTCTCCAAGACTCAGGTTTCCCATTTAAATAAAAACAGGAGTGAGAAGATATTCTCTAGCTGTGATGGGCAACTGATCAAGTCTTCCAATTTTCCCAGCAAACTAAATTTTAAAAAGCTTTTACTTAATCTTTTTCTTAAAAATTAGTAACTTGATCTTTGTAAAGTTTTTAAGAATGATTTTATTTAACTTTATTTATTCATTTTATTTACTTATTTCAATTTGACTGGAGAAGGACAGAGTGAGAGAGAGAGAGAGAGGGAAAGTGAGAAAGTAAGCTGCCAGGTCTGGGACTCGAACTGCAGTTGGCCTTGTGGGAATCCAGTGCCCTTAAACATAATGCCACCTGCTGGCCCCATCTTTGTAAAGTTTTTAATGAATTTCTTTCTGCAGCTTCAGTACCAGGAGGCTCACAAGGACTCTCAGGATGGTTTCAGAGTACCAATTCAACACAGATTTCTAAATCTGCTCCTCCTTTGTTCTGAGGACAGACTTTGGGGGAAACTGTAGGGATGCTTGTTTTGTGGCAATCACATTAGGAAAAAGGGTGGGCCAGGAGGCTGAGAGGGATGTCATCATGAAGTTGAAGGGGCAGATGCAAGGGCCCTTTCTTTACACCCAGTCAGCCTCACTCACCCTTCCTGCCCCCACACCACAGGGAAGCTGAGATGCACACCGCAGTGAAGGGATCTGCTTCCCTCCGGGACACAGTCACCTTCAGGGCCCAGCCTCAGGCATGGACATAGCGGGTGCTCAGAGCTGACTTGTACAGAGTCTAATGTCAAGTACAATGGTGAAGGGACAAAGGGCAGAAAGCCAAGTGACTTAAACATGTGGACTTGTCACAGTGAGACTCCATGCCGGTAGGCTAGCCAACTGACAAAAGTTATGAATTTAACAGCCAACCAATGAACTTTCCTATCAGGTAGGTTCCCCCTGAAATCTTAGCCAGTACTGTGCAAAGCTCTGTGCTAACCACTAGGGGGAAACAGTTCAACAGTCGTACGCAAACATTATAAAACACTGAGTGGTTTCCACATTGATGGTCATAACCCAGTGATAGCCAACACTTTCAATTCCATTAAACAATAAGGAAACTGAGACACAAAGAACAGACCTACCACTGCCGCTCAGCTGCTAATTTGAAGCCTGGACAGTGACAACAGTCCTCACTTATACCTACTTAATATACTACATGCCCCAAACTCCCCAGTAACACCTTTTCCTCTTTGTGGAGAAGCAACACATGCAACAGCAGCTAAAAGAAAAGAAAATGAAGTGCTTGTGTGGAAAATACCTTGTCTTTTATACTCCACGTTTTCTTCTGGCTGATAATGTTTTACATTTTGCAGCAAAGAGTGTGGATTTCCCTGCTTCCCAACGTGTGATGTTTCTGTTGTCAACTTATGTTATTAGGAAGGCCTTTACCTGACATTCACTCAACTCTACCTACCTTCTTCTTTTCTTTTTTTAAAAGAATTATTCATTTAATTTTATTTGTTATTATTTTTCTTATTTGACCAGAGAGAGAGAGAGAGAGAGAGATCAAGGGAAAGTGAGAAAGCAAGCTGCTAGGTCTAGGACCTGAACTGCGGTCGACCATGTGGGAGTCCAGAGCCTTAACCTCCATGCCACCTGCTGGCCCCCAACTTGCTTGGGAGGCTCTTCTCAGGGCTCATTTCTAGGATCTGTTTTCCAACCCCTCCCTTCTCCCCAAGCTGGATGGAGTGCATCCTCTATGCTCATGTGCAGATCCACACTGTCTCCCTACCAGGCTGCAGGCTTCTTTGGGAGAAAAGTGTGCTTTATCTGTCTCGGTACCCTGAGGCTCTACAGCCTGCATGGCAGATGTTCAGAGAACACTATGGGATAAATAGATATTTCCCCAACTTCGTTTACTGAGTCTCATAAATCCTGGAAAGTCAAAGCAATTTTCTACCACATCTTTTTAGGTCCCTTAGCTACAGATCACTTTACTTTTATGTATTGTGATAAGAAAGTGTGCTTTGGTCAGCTGATCACTACTGGGACTTTTTCCTCATGTGAGGTACCCCTCTGGGGACAATGTAGCAAAATATAGCAGATAAAATCTAAGTGTATATGTTTATTTACCAGGGGTGGAAGAATAAAGAGCTTGTCCTTAAAGCTGCTCGCCTGACAAGTCGTGATTTTACTAGCATGATGGTACTGTTAATATTCCCACTGAGGCCAGTTGTACTTCTTAGAGATGATTTTTCTTTTAGCCCCCATTCTATCAGTCCTTTGCAGAGAGAACCCGACTACTGAAGTTTAGAATCAGATTCATTGTTTGATTCATAATGTTTCTCTGAAAGTATTGGGTCCTCAGAAAAGTCATATATTTTTCTATGTAAAAATGTGTCATGACTTTTCTGATGACCCAACAGCTTACTGCTGATGACAATATGTAATGGATGGTTCTCTTCTGAGCAGATAGGAAAATACAGTAAGAGTTAACACTTGCCATGTGCTACATGCTACTCTAAGAGCTTTACATGTAGGGCCCATTTTATCTTCACTACAACCCTATTACAGAGATACTTTTATTATCCTCACTTGACATATACAAAACTAACGCCTGGAGAGGCTGAAGGCCATACAAAAATTATTGGAAGAGCCAAGATTCAGGTAAAATGTTTTCTTTTATATGATTTTATTTATTATTTTAAAATTTGCAACATGGCATATATGCTCACTAAAGAGAGATAGAGAGAGAAAGAAAGAAAGAGGGAAAGTGAGAAAGCAAGCTTCCAGATCTGGGACTGAAACCATGGTCAGTCATGTGGGAGTTCAGCACCTTAACCACCATGCTGCCTGCTGACCCCTAAATAATATGTTTTCATTTCACATGCTGGTAGTCCAACTATAAACAAAGTTTTAGTTATCCATCACTTTTTAAAAAAGAATTATTGGGGCCAGCAGGTGGTGTGGTGGTTAAGGGCTCTGGACTCCCACATGGCTGACTGGGGTTTGAGTTCCCAGACCTGGCACCAGACCTGGCAGCTTGCTTTCTCACTCTCTCTCTCTTTCTCTTCAAATTAAAATAAATAAATAAATAAAGTTCAATAAAATTAAAAAAAAAAGAATTATTTAATTTGACTTACGTATCATTATTATTTTTAAATTTGGTATAGAGCATGTGAGCTCACCAGAGAGAGACAGAGAGAGAAAGCGAGAACGCAAGTTGCCAGGTTTGGGACTCAAACCATGGTTGGCCTTGTGGAAGTCCATGCCTTAACCACCATGCCACCTGATGGACCAATTGTGTATCACTTCTACATGTATTATTTAATTTGAACGAGGTAGACATATTGTGAACTATCAATAATCAATAGCATCACCTTCTTTTTTCAGATGAGAAAACCAAGATTGGAAAAGGTAATAACACCTATATGGCAAACAGAGAAGCCAGGATTCAATCAAGTATGACTACATGCATTCTAGAGTTCCTGCCTCTCAAACTTGGGAGGTCTAGCTGAGAACACCAAGTTGCCCTTTTCTGTGGGAAAGGTCAGTCTCCTTAGCTGACCAGCCTGGCAGAGATGGGGTCTAGAGATCAAGACTACGAGGTGACTGGTGATTGTGCCATTTTCCATATGGATGAGACAGACGGGGTCCGTTCCAGATGTATTGTAAGGTGGGGGAAACTTCAGAAGCCACCCAGGTGCATCACTGTGCAACCTCTGTGAGTTTCCATTAGGGGAGGAGATCAGGCTAGAACAAGACTCACACTAGGTCTTATCACTGAGTGGGATCACTATATGTCCACAGTCAAGCAGTCATCACTGACGTCCCCCTTCCTCCACTTTCCTGTTCCATGCAGGTATGTATAAGCTGCAGGCCCCATCTCCTGGCTCCTCACCTCTCTCATTTTAGTTATTTGCTCTAGAGGAGTAGAGGTAGACAGGGCCATCTCAGCAGCTCAGTCAGCCTTCTCTGGCTATTTTATAACCTGTTTTGAGACTAGATGAGGGCGAGTAGCTCAACTAGTGCCTGCTCTGAGATCTGACCACCTTGCTCACTTAATGGCCTACCAGGGCAGTTGGCCAAGAGGGTAACAATCCGAGATGGTTTGGGACAAACAGGAAGGTAGAGGAGATACCGTGAGCAACCATACAATTCGATGCAGTACTATGGTGATGTACTATATGGGCACCACACAGCTAAGTCACTACGAGGTGATGTTCTGCCTTCTATCTGGCTATGCATGCTTTTACTGTGCATGCCCAGTACCTAACACAGGACCTGACATGGAACAGGTGCTCAATGAAGTTTGCTGACTGAACAAGTGGGATCCTACGCCAGCTTAAACCAGCCTTATGGAAAACTCTATCTGGACTTTCTAATACAGTAGCCACTAGCCACATGTGGCTAGTCCAAACTAAGATGTGCTGTCAATGTAAAATGTGGAATGTTTTTTAAAGACTATATATATACAATATATATATAGGTGTGTGCATGTATATACATACACGCCTATACACACATACATATAAAAAGATATACATGTGTATATGTGTATATATATATATATATATATACACACACACATATATAAATATAAAGAAGATGCAAAAGAATCTCATTAATAACTTTCACACTGACCACATGTTACGTGATAATATTTGAGATATTTTGGGTTAAGTAAAACATTACAGATCTTGTTTTATTTTACCTTTTAAAAAATGTATTTATTTTATTTATCATTATTTTAAAAAATTTTACCAGAGAGGGACTGGTAGTTGGTGTAATGGCTATGTCGCTGGACTCCTATGTAGGTGACCGCAGTTTGAGTCCCAGACTCAGCAGCTTAAACTCACATTGGGTGCCTGTGTGTGCATGCCCAAGATCCCAAGAGGAGAATGGAGGAGAAGGGATTGTGGCATGGCCATCCTTTTGGGGGGTGATTTCTTGCTTTCTGTCTCTATTTCCCTCTCCATCTTTCTGGCGAGTGCACATGCCCTATGGCAAAAACCTCTCAATTTTCTTTCTTTTTTTTTTTTTTAAACCAGAAAGAGACAAAGAGAGAGAAAGGGAAAGTAAGAAAGGGACTTGAACTACAGTCAGCCCTGTGAGAGTACAACACCTCAACCATCATGCCACCTGCTGGTCCCCTCCTTTTATTTTTTGAAAATATGGGTACTAGACAATTTAGAATTACATATGCAGCTCATATCATATTTCTGTTGGATAGCACGGTTATAGATCAATATAGAATCCATTATGTAGCTATACTGAATCTCTAAAAATGAAGTCCTAAGACTCCAGCAGTGTTTTAGAGTGGCACAAATCAAGTAGCAAACAGGAATGACTTAGGGCAAAATCCTTAAGCTAGCAGGATCTCAGTTTATAAAAGATGACTGGAAAAAAATCTCTCCCCTTGGGGTTTGTATAGAGATCAAATCCAGACACCTGAGCAATGGAATTGGAAAATGCAATGTGTGATAGTTCTCCACTGTTCCATGGGCTCCCTTGGCAGAAAACCCCACACTACAGCTCCTTTCTCCTGAATCCAATATCCCCAGGCGGGTGGAGAGTGTAAGTCAGGGCAAGTGGGGCTGTCTAGACAGCCAGATGTGCTGCCTAGTAGAGTTGCTGGGGAAGAGGGACTTGGTCGAACGGACAAGGCCAGAGGACTTTCTCAATATACTGATCGGAACAATCTGTCCCTTGATGAATGCTCCCCTCTTGACTTACATTGTACTGCGTAGGATGCCAGAACCACTGTTGAGTTAAGAGGGCAGGTTAACCTGTCAGGAGAAAAACATATTAGCAAAATCACTGGAACCAACAGCAGCCCCAAACACACACACATCATGGTGGCATGTACTTCTCTTTTCTTGGGTTTGCCATTAAAAAACATGACTCATAAGAAAGGCAACTTTGATATAAATCAGTCTCAAATAGCAAATAAAGATAAATGTACACACTAAGAATTTTTGAAAAGAAAAATAAAACCTTTTCACATTTAAAATAATATGTCACAGATTCCATGAAACTAACGGTCTAATGTTGGCCAGTGTTCTTGTTGGCTGAAGGTCAGGCTCATTTCTCTAAAAGGAAAAGTGTGTACAATAATCATTCTCCTAAGATCAATGAGCAGCCTTCAAATCTTTCTAGTAAAGACATGAGACTTTTTGTAGGGTTCTCTAACTAGGTCTCTGAGTTCTGGGGACTTTCTGGTTCTTGATGAGCCTCTCTCTAGAATGATGACATCCTTGTAGAAGGGAAAAGTAGAAAAGTGTTCAGAATTTTTAAATGCACAATTCCTTAATTAAATTGATTATAATTAAGATTCCTACATTGTTTACTCTCTTGAAGATTTATAGGGTTCAATGAGCTGACTCTCTGTCTTCCTGCCATCCTCTAAGAACCCAAGAACTTGTGACGGACTTGTTCTCTTTTCCTCTTATGCTCACTATCGTCCCAAACACTCCATTTCTGCCAATGACTGCCTGTGTCTCGGTTGTATTCTGAATCCTCTACTTGTTCCCTTTCTCTACTCAAACATGGACTCCACGATCTGGCCAGAGCTCTTGCCTCCAGATCTGGAGCAAGGATCGCTGCTAGATGGGATAATGGGTCAGGAAAGGGCAAGAGTGAGGGCTTACAAAGTGGGGAGGAGGGCTGACAAACGCAGGTATTCTTAATGGCAACACTGGGAGACAAGGAGATTTTAAATGAACTCTTCCCAGCAACCCAAGGGAAGTGGAGAACACATGTGGTTTCCATGGCAGCCCACAGAGTTCCAAGATGTGAATCCTTTCAACTCTTTCAACCGATCTGCTTAGCCTTCCAGGGGTTCCTCTTCCCATGTGCTGTGCTTTGTGCTGATCTTAAAGCTGAATATGAAGTCAACGTTCCTCAAGGAAGTCTGTGTTCCTGCCACAATTTCCAAATGATCTCTCTGAGTTTACAGAAGTGCCCCGGGCATACTGACCATCTACTCGCTCATCTGGACACCCAGACTGCCTGTGGGAAGAGCAGGCAGAATGTGATGAGTTTCAGCCACTCACTCTCCTACCAAGACGGGCTTCAGTTAAATCTAAACCAACATCCTCACTGGAGGAAGAGTAAGTGAATGGTATTTGGGGGACAACTAAGGAAGGAGGCTAAGGAGGTTCAGTCTAGATGGAAGAAACAATTCTAAGAAGATCACAAAAGAAAACGTTTCCAGAGAGTGGTGTTCAAAATATGTACTAAAGAACACCAAAGGCCTGTATTCTACTCTCAGCTTGGCACAAGTTCCTGGGAAGACCCTTTTCTTCCTCTTTGGATTCAGCATCTAAATCTGTTGAAGAACTTAGATGAGCTCACCAAACTCAGCAGAAAGGAGATGATGCCTTGAGAACTGGCTACCACCAACAGTTCAAACAAGTCAGGGACTACTCGACACCCAGGAGAAATGCTAACTATGCTGCACCAAGCCTGTCAAAAGATCCAGGCACACCATGGTGTGGCACAGCCCTGAGAAGTGTGTGCTTGCAGAGACCCTCTCCTAGGAGAGGTGGCAAAGACCTGCAGACCTGACAGGGAGCGCAGGGATCTAAGTCAGACCGTGCCCCTCAGCAGTTTCTATTGAGTCACACAGAAATAACAAATGGTAAAGGAGAAGAAAACATGAAGACAACCGATTCAGTATTTGGAGAGTAAGACTGAGGGCACCAGACAAGGTGAGGCCCTCACCTTAGTTGAGCAGCATGGTTCACTGCCTGTCTCACAGTGGGTGTTTGCAACAGTATTGGTGGAAAAACAAAATTAATGGATAGAAGAGAGAGACAGAAGGAGTGTCCGCTACCACAGAGGAGAGCCTGGGTCCTGGAGGAGTGCGTAATTTCAACCTCGAGTTACCCTATACTCTAAGAATCTGGCTGCCTCAGGAAAGGCTGAGCTCCCTCCCCATCACTGGGGGTGACCAGAGGCCTATAGACCTGTAAGTCTTGCTAAGAAGGGATTCGCTCCTACCTTGAGTGGGAGGATGAGCTAACTTCTGAAAATTCTCTGATTGCTACAGGCAACAGGTTCTGGCAATCCTTTCTTCAAAGGTTCTCTTGTTTCTGATGTCCATGCCCTCCACCAAGTGTCGATTTCTATAGCCACTTCCTCAAGGGCTGTGCATTCCTTTCTATCTATAATACTAGATGGAGGCTCCTTGGCCTTGACCAGTCCTTTCCATCTAGACAGAAGCCCCTTGGCCTTGACTGAAGCTCCTTTGACACTGATACTATCTCTGTGGCTCTTGCTCTGGATACATCTTTCCTGCTTAAAAATCTTCAAGAGGTCTCTTCTGCCTGCTGGATGCAAGATGTATATCTGTGTCAGGCATGAAAAACTCTCTTTTTACCTCTTGTAAGGTTGCTGTGTGTGGCTTCAGGTTCGAACTGTGGGGACAGATTAGGGTGGGTGCCTTCTCACTGCCTAGAGAATCCAATTCTTTACTTCTCTAACAACCCAGCTCTGGCTCATCCCAGCAATCCACAGAGACCTTATTAGCTTACACTGGCAGATGGAGCTCCTAAAAGCGGAAGACTACCATGGTCTTCATTTGCCCACACTGGTCCTGGCTGCTTCCAAATTGCTTCCTAGTTCCTGTCTCATTTTCCCACCAGATTGCAAGCTCCTCATAGTACAGCATATGGGGGTGAGAGTGGGAGGTTGAACACCCTCCTCCTACAGGAGAAAAGAGGGAGGGGTGAAGAGATTGGAAATAAGATGTGGCTGTTTCTACCAGTTTACCTGTCATAGTTTCTTCTGTAAGTCAAGAAAGTATCGAGGATTTGGAGGAAGTAGCTCAGGGACCACTGGCCCAGAATTTCCTCTCCTTTCCTGGGTTATTCTCGGATATTGTCCGGACACTGAGAAGGTCTTGCTACCCTAAAGCGCTGAATCACAGGCAGATGTTTGTGTCATTGAGCAAGAAGTTTCCCAGAAAGTGAATTAGCCATAGGTACTAAGGGGCTCAGAAGTAAACCTAAATTAGACCTGATCTGCCTTCCAAATGAAACCGGTTTGCATTCGAGGTCTCTTCCTCCCTTTAAAATTTCTCAGGTCTTTACCAGAAAGGTAATTGCATCTTTCATAGCAAAACTGAAATAACATGAAATGGAGTTTATTGATCCTTAGCCTCTCTAGACCAAGTCTGAGTTATAAACAGATGTCCAAAGCCTAACGTCATACAGGATGCTGCTGTCAACATCCACTCTGGTTTAGATTTAATATGGCTACCAGAAATGCACGTTCATTAGATTACACCCAGGAATGTCGCTAGTCTGACAGGAAAAGAAAAATGCAAAATTCGCATTACCTTCCTTCACAAATATCCATCTTCAGTTGTAAGAAATACAAATGCCTATGAAACAATGGTTTTTCATTAATTCATAATCCAACTGAAATAAGCAAAAATAAAGTCAAGAATAAGACCCATACATGTAAAAAGCAAAATATACCCAGATACATTTTTCTCTAAGTGCCAGGCTCTATTCTGCTCACTGCAAAGCTGCCCCACTTGGTGCCCTAAGTCTCGAATGTCCTGGGGAGGGTTGAACAGGGATGGGTGGGGTAGAGCCTGCCCGCCAGAGATCAACTGGTACAGTGCGGGTGAGAGCCTCTGCCCTCAGCCCAGGCCTTCCCGGTCAAGCACCGGGACCTTCACGTTCTGCACAGGCAGCCCCCACACACAGAGGGGCCCCTGTTCTGAACCATGTGTCAGCATTCGCACACCCACCTGCCCTCTATGTGAAGCTGCTCAGAGCAGGAGGGTCTGTGGAGGTACCTCCTAGGCAGGGATGCCAATACCCAGCTGGGATTTTCCCTGTATCCCAGGAACTGTGGGTGCTGGAACAAAAGCATCGGTACACTAGCAGCTGTCAGGACTTCCAGCTTGACTTCTGCACTCATCTGCGAGTGACCAGCAAATGTCAACTTCAAAGCCCTGGGCAAGTCGTCCCAGGCCCCTCAGCCTGGAGCTTTGCTCCTCTGTCCGGGGAGTGGGGAAAGGAGGCTGTCAACGATGCCGTGCCAGCCAGGAGGCGCTCTGGAGGTTTATATTTAGGGATGCGGCATACATGTGACACTTGGCTGCTAGCTCCCACTCTTTTTTAAACCCTAGGTTCAAATGGGATAGACATTCCACTGTCTGGCCAAGATGACAAAAGGGAAACCTCTTGAAACCTAATCCAGCCAGGACAGAAGTGTTCAGGGGCGGGAGAGGATGATTTTGGCAATTTAAATAAATCAATTTCATCATTCCTTCAGATTTATAAAGGTCCATGGGGCTTGTATTTTGAGATGGTTCAAATGATTACAATCTCCTATGTGCACTGTTCTAGGCTGTGCATGAGTGAAACTCTGTAACTTTCCCCCTTCCCAGCCTCATGCTACCTCTGTACCACTGTCTCCAGTTTTTTTATTTTTGTTTTTTCCTTTTTTGGGAGAAGTTTTTGCTATAGGGCACGTGCACTCACCAGAAAGAGACAGAGAGACAGAAAGCGAGAAATCAGCCCCCAGGGGGGATATAGCCATGCCACAATCCCTTTTCCTCCATTCTCCTCTCAGGATCTTGGGCACGCACGCACACGTGCCCGGCGTGAGTTTAAGCCACCAGGTCTCGGACTTGAACCATGGTTGACTACATGGAAGTCCAGCAACATAGCCGTTACACTAACTGCTGGACCCCCCTATCTCCAGTTTTCATAGATGAAGTCAAAGCTCAGACAGGGTATGTGGGATCAGTGTTTCTTCATCTTTTTTATTTCTCTTTAGTTTTGCTATAGGATGCATGGTGTACTCACGGGAGAGAGAGAAACAGTAAGAAATTACCCCCCAGGAAGATGGTTAAGCTGCAATTTTTTCCCCTTCATTCTCCTCTCGGGATTTGCACACGTGTATGGTATGCACATGTATGTGCTCAGCAAGTTTTTTTTTTTGAGAGAGAGATTTTCACTGTAGGGCGCGTGCGCTCGCTAGACAGAGAGAGACAGAGAGACAGAAAGCGAGAATCACCCCCCAGGGGGGATGGTCAAGCCGCAATCCCTTCTCCTCCATTCTCCTCTCGGGATCTTGGGCACGCACGCACACGCGCCCAGCGTGAGTTTTAAGCCACCGGGTCCGGGACATGAACCGCGGTCGACTACGTGGGAGTCCAGCGACATAGCCATTACGCTAACTGCTGGTTCCCTGCTCAGCAAGTTTTTCAAGCTGCCAGGTCCAGGACTCAAACTGCAGTTATGTGGGGTCCACCTGCCTTAACCACCATGCCACCTGCTGCCCCCAGTGTGTCTGGATGCTCTTGTTATGAAAAAAGCGTCACTATGCTGCAGTTCTTACACATTTAATGACTACAGATCTGTGTCATAACTCTGATATTGTTACTCTGATTGTAATTATCATCAGCTACCCACAATATGTCAAGCTACCCAGTACAGAGAGACCACACAACATACATTTGCTGATTCATGCCAGTTTGGTATGCTGGAATCTCTCTTTTCTACCTAGGAGAACATAATCAGTCCTTTCTAGTTTGTTTCTATGTTTACCCAGCTGACATTCAACCAGAATTAAGTGTTCTCTTTCCTACAATGCTACCAAGAGAAAGAGAAGAAGGGAGGAGCTATAGATAATCTGATGCTAAATCTGGGTTTTCACCGATGAGCTCAGCTCATCAGTTTATCTTCCCAGGGATATAAATGAGAACATGAACCTGGAGATCACCACCCACACCAAATGCTTCTTGGTATCTATTAAACAAAGTTTCTATATCGTAAAGAAATCAGGGGACTGGTCCCACACCGTAGAGGTTAAGGGAGCCAGACCCCACATGGCCAATCACAGTTTGAATCTTAGCCCTAGGGGCTTGAAAAACATATTGGGTGCACATGTGCATGTCCCCAGATATCCTAACATGGTGGAAAATGGAAGAGAATGGATTGTGGTGTGACCATGCCCCATTAGGAGGTGCTTTCTCCCTCTTTGCCTACATGAAAGAAAGAAAGAGAGGGTGAAAGAAGAATGGAAAGCAAGAAAGAAAAAGAACAGAAAACAGAGCGAAAGAAATCAGAATAGTGAAATGCAACCCAAACCCAGGAGACTTCCTAGGAATCCTGAAGGAGTCTAATTTTAATTTGAGATTGCCAATAAGTGAAATTCTGTTTAGAAATACCTAACTTTATCAGAAGCAGTGGTTGTGGACACTGGCAATGAAAAAGAATACTTATTATCAATTAGAATAAAAGAAAGTCATTTTGAAAAGCTATTTGGGGTGCCTAACTTCTGAAATGTAATGACAGTTCTTAAGAGTATACCTCATCTATGACCTCAACTTCAGAAAAAGGCAATGACTATCTCCCTGCCTAGATCCTTAAGAACAAATACCACCTCTGTGCCCCTACTCTGATTCTTGAAAGCTCAGTTTCTTTAAAAAGGTAACTCACTTTGGGACCAGCAGATGGCATAATGGTTACGTTGTTGACCACAGTTAAGTCCCACGTAGTTGACCACAGTTAAGTCCCAGACCCGGTGGCTTAAACTCATTCCAAGCATAGGTGAGTGTATGCCCAAAATCAGAGAAGGGATTGCAGCATGGCCATCTCCCCAGGGGGTGATTTCTCACTTTCTCTCTCTGTCTCTCCAGCAAACACATGTGCCCTACGGCAAAAATCTCTCCCTTAATAAAAAAGGGAACTCACTTTTGGACAGTCTACAAAGCTGTGACTTAATAAGATATTATGTGACAGGAATACAGGTAAACCCTTAAGTTTTTTTTTTTTCTAATGTAAGAAAACATATGAATTAATATGGAAGCTCAGCCCATCCTAAGAAAAAGATCTGGCAATCCTGGCAGGCCACCGTATCAATAGGAGTCATGGGGGAGGCTACTGCGTGGCTCCTGCTGCCTTAAGAGAAATCTGGTGCCTGAATGCGAGGAGGCAACAGCCATACTGTACTTCACTCTGGGGATACCACCTATCTTAAGAAGGGCAGCGGGGCGGGTGTGGGGGCCTGCTCTGAACCACTGAATTTGAGGAGAGACAAAGACAAACCCAATTTAGCCTGGGACTTAGGTAAAAACAAGTATTAGTCTATTACTCATCTCAAGCTAAAATCCGCTTCTCCGTAGCCTCCACTCGCTGGCCATGATTCTATGACCCATAAATCGAACATCACTCTTCTTACAACTACGCATTGGAGAGCTGATGTTTTCCACAGAGCATAGATGACCCTGAGGGGGGCTGGAGAGGGATCCTGTGACTCCTTCCCTCGGGTTGTCTCCTTGGAGCATTCTAGCACAACCAAGGGGTGCCACAAACCCGGGGCTCCAGGATTACAGGAAGAGACAGGTGACAACCACTAGTGAAGGCAGTGCGAGTCACACTTGGGGGCAGGACCTACCTGGTGGTACTAAAATCAATTTAATGTGTCACAACTAGCATTTTAAAAAAGAGAAATAGGACACAATAGAAAATTTCACAGTGCTTTGTACTTACTATAGTTTTATAAAACTTTTGCTTTAGAAGGGGACTTTAAGTAAAGTTCACGGTAGGGACAGCTGGTAGCACAGCATGGTGGTTAAGGGGACTGGATCCCACATGGCCGACTATGCGATCCAAGTCCCAGATCTGGTGGCTTGAAAAATACGCTGGGCATGTGTGTATGCCTGCCCAAGATCCCAAGAGGAGAACAGAAAAAGGGAATGCAGCACAGTCACCCCCTGGGAGTGATTACTCTCTCTCCGCATCTGTCTCCAGTAAGTGCACATGCTCTATAGCAAATCTTTAAAAATTAAAAAAAAAAATAACCACAGTAAATAGAATTAAAGCGGGAGTTAATTTTGGTGCAAGTAATTCGGAAATCATGCATCGTTTTTCATAATGTGCATTTTCCGTGAACTTTTTGAAGACCCCACATATATGTACACTACATCTTGAAACAAAATATATTTGTGATTGAGGAATTGTGAGTTCTCTAAAAAAAAAAACCTTACTAGTTAGAACCACACGTGGGGAAACACACACTCACACATATACGTGTATATGCATCATGTGTAATCATACATATATGCCATTTATAATGCATGTGGTATGGGATACATACACATATGTATACATGTTGTGTGTAATTCTTCACGGTATTTTTAAAGCACCTCTCAAACAAAAGTTGTTTTTTAGTAATGGCCTGAGGAAACCTTGGTAGGGTCATTTCAGACACATTCTTAACATATTATGTCACCGACTCTGCCCATCCCACCAACTCTGCCCATCAGCTAACGAAACGACCTGCTGGACTGAGCTTTTCTATACTACCCCAGCCTACCATGGTGAAGAGCCATTATGGGAAAACCTCAAAGCACAGTGCGTCCTTCCGCGTGGTTACCCAGTGAGTCACAGTGGACATCTCTTATGCTGGTTTAAAATGTAACATAATGGTAAACACAACCAAATCCCCAATGCTTGCTTCTGTAGAAGGAAGAGGTGCACAGACTAGGCAAAACAGAGTAATAGACTAATATTTGACTTTTAAACATATTAAAAGTTAAAACACGATCAGATGATTACCATTGGAAACAAAAAAGCAAGGAAATAAATCACCATTTTGGGTCTGAGATGATGTCACTTCCTTGGCGATGGTCTTAAGGCCACCGTGAGACTGGAATAGGATCCCATTATCCTAAACATCCATGGCTTTTTATTTTCTGGTAAAATACTTTCCCTCCCTCAGAAAAATAAATGGATGGAAAATAAAGGGGCCTGATGTTGCCATGGGGAAGAAGGGAAGTTGAATTTACATAGTCTCTGTGCAAATAGCAACAACTTTCCTGTGCTGCCTAACCCACTCTTCCAAATACCCCGTTCCCCACCCAGAAAACCCATGTGCCGGTACCAAACAAGGGCCAGGACAGGCTCCAAGCCCTGAGGGGTAAACAACTCCAATCACCAAGCTCTCTCCCTTATCTGGCTCACATACTTCCTGCACCTGCTGATTCACTGCAGAGACAAGCTGGGTCCAGCCTGCTTCCCTCTCCAGCTCTGGCAAACTGGGCATCTAGCACAAAATGTTTACTGCAGAAGCATCTTATCAAGAGCCTTGAGGCCAGCAGGTGGTGTGGTTAAAGGTGCTGGCTCTCACATGGCCAACCACAATTTGAGCCCTAGACCTGGTGGCTTGCTTTCTCACTTTCTTTCTCTCTGTCTGTCTGTCTGATCAAACTGGAAGATAATAATAAAGAGCCTCCCTTTTAGTCCTCTGGAGATATTATTCTATTTCACCCGTGGATGACTGTTTTACCAATTTGTCTTCTAAAACCCTGGCTGCATTAGTAGATAATAACTTTCCTCCTTTGAGCACAGAAGAGGCTGAGGGCGTGGAAGGAACCAGGGAAAGTAAGAGTCGTGGATGTGAATGTGCTGGGAACTATTCCAAATCAGGGGGTGACAGAAGCAGGCCCAAGAAGACTGAAAACTGATTATCCAATTAAAATTTCAGTACGCGTACCATAAATGTTTACTTGGATCATAACTGTTGGTACAGCTACACCCAAATGAAGTCATCTGGCCACAGTGATAAAACGAGAAGTACAGTTTCAGTGGTTACTCATTTTTATATACTAAATAGAAAACTTGAAGAAAATGTTATTACCTGGTTTGTTCTTGCTGCAGTGTGTTGGGATCAGGTATAAAAAATCTTACTCGAAAATGCAGGGTACAGGGGAAACCTCCTACAACATTTTTCAAAAACAAATTTAATTTTCTCTTTAGAAAAGTCAATTTTTGTAACTTGCTACTCTCCCATACATGATGCATTTCTCACTCAATCATAGCTTTTTCCAGTACAAAAGGGCTAATTTCGAATAAGAAGCACATAAGTTAATAGCTTGCTTCAGAAATCTCCAGGCCTACAGAGAGTAAAATATTTATGCAACATCGGCACAGGGTGAGGCATCACCTATTTATTACACGTCTAAAACAGGGCTGCATTCAACACTGTTATCTGTATTAGAAATGTTAGAAATCCTTAAATCGGCACATTATATACAACTCAAAGGAAATCATCACTTTGTTTACATAACGATTTGTCCTTTTCAAACATGTTACGAATTCAAGCATCACCAGGCCTAGGAATAGACAAGGCTGCCGGTGATGGCCTTGTTTTACAGATAAGCCAATGGGCTTACCGATATAAATCACCTGCCTTAGGTCACACAGCTGGCAACAAAAGCAGAACTAGAGCACTGAGGGTTTTGATTCTGCTACGCCATATTTCAAAACCATTTTTACAGTGGAAATATTTCAGACTTATAACGCAGAGCATATTAAGTAATGAACACAGTAGTGAATATCACACAACGAACATCCTCAAGTTTGGCTTTATATATCAACACCGAGTCAATTCACATGTACAGATAAAATCAGTCCATTTCTTTTGATAGGTACGGCAACAGGAGAAGATCGGACTGTGTTGCTAAGATCCTGGGATTTTCACTTCAGTTTCACACCCCCCCACCCCCTTCCCAGTCTCCATCACTCAGGAAGTGTTCACTGGTCCTATCTCCGTGCTTGGCACTTTCTCGATGTTTGAAACTCAGGTCCTCCGGGCTGCTTCCCTCACTGATCCTACTACTAATCTCCTCTTCTGCCTTTGTTCATCCTGGGCTCCAGTCTCCCCCTCATCAGTTCCCTGTATCGTCCCCTCTGGCTTGTGTGCAGAGTCTCTAACAGCCAGTGTACACCGAATGTACCTCTGTACACGTGTCAGAGTACCAGTGGGTGGCGCTGAACTCTACGGGTGCAGGCACCACCTGCACATCAGGGGACCGCAAAGTCCTCCTGTTGCATTGGGACACCATTTTGCCTCCCCTCTCTCTTCTAGAATGTGTCACTTTTATGTCCCAGGCATGGCTGCCACATTTTCCCTGTCCTCTGTGCACCGGAGCATGCTCCATGTGACTAGCAGTAACATGGAACCGTCTCTCCCCACATCTGTCTCCACACTTGACTGCAAGCTCCTTGAAGGCAGTGTCCAAATATGATCTGGACTAGGGTCCTAGAACTGAGCCCACAGGTCCACCGAACAAGAGTTCGGGAAAGAATGAATGGCACCACCTATCCAGGGCTAGTGTGTACTCATTCCTGTGAATTCAAATGGGGGCTATTTATCTGCAATGTCTCTGGGGATCCCCTGGGTACTTCTGAGGGTTGAGGACAGAGCTTGTGGGAGGTAAGGACTCAGGCTCTGGTTCCAGTTGAGGGCAGCACTGAGATCAGGGCATGGCTCCCTGCATCTACTCCTTCTCACCTGAGTGCTGGGGCGGGGTATGTGCATGTATGTATGGGGTGGGGGAATTGCGTGTGTGTACACTTGTGCGTACAAATGGACCTCTACCAATCACTGGCTACCTCCTGCATGTCGGGCACCAGAAGGGATGCAGAGGGGAATGCAATGTGGGTCCTGACTGCAAGGAACCTGCCGTTCTAAGAGAAAGCTAAAGGCAATAACTGAGGACAAGAGCATTCACAGCCACAAGGCAGACAGTGATAACTGGAAGAGCAAGCAGAGGGAGTCATGGCTATAGTAGGAGAGCATGAGATCTGAGCAGCCCTGAGGAATGGCTAGACTCAGGACGGCAAAGCATTCCCAGAGGGAACAGATCGAAGGAAGGCACAGAAGAGGCCTTACAGATTTGTCAGGCTGGTCCAGGGCAGGGGGTGCAGAAAGGGGAAAATGACAGTGATTTTGGAAAATCAGGCCGAGGACAGATGAGGGTGGAGCACAGGTAAGGTGCGGCTTGAATGGCCATCTCACTCTCACTGGGAGTTAACCTCAGTGCTGGGATCCCCTCATGATGGATATGCCAAGCTGTGGAAGGGTTCATCTTTTGTATTTGTGACATTATCTACCTGTGTCTCAGTTTCTAATGAAGACAACTGTGCTACTAGAAAGTCTAGGGGTTGTTTCTGTCTGTCTCTCTTTCCCACCCTGGCTTTCAAACTGGGTTGAGAAAAGCCATTCTCCTTCCTCTTCCTTCCTTGCAAAAAAGAAATACGGGTTTCCTTGCTCTGAGCTGCCTACTCACACCTCCCCCTTTCTTGCCCACAGCTGGTGAGGATCCTTGAGGACTGATCTGGAAGCTTCTCTGCTAAAGTCGGAAGTCAGGCAGGGAGACGTCAACTCACTTAGATCTCCAGGCCCCCTAGAATCCAGGAACCAGGTGTTACAGGTACTCTGGAGAGAAATGTGATACGTTAACACCTAATGTGCGACTGAAATGTGAAGATCACACCAACCTTTCAACTGCTTCCGGATGGGTTTGCCTGACTCCAGCCATCTCTGTAGGGCAAGGAGACACACGTTATAAACCCCACCGTACAGGAGCTCAGCACGCCCTAAAGAGACAGCACTTACGGGAGAGTCCAAGCAGTCGTCACCATGTTGCAGACCAAAATACTCCTTTTCTGTCACGCCCAGGTAGTTGTACGCCATATCCAGGAGGACTTGACCAGTGTCTTGCTTCTAGAAAAAAAAAAAAAAAAAAAAAAGGAATCGAGTGGGAAAAATCTGAAAACGAGAGTTAAGAACTGACGGTGAAAATATCTTCGCTGTAGGCAAAAAGAAATGAAAATATTCAGAGAGATTTCAGACATACACGTTCCCCACCATAAGGAAAGCTTTTATACATTTCAAGACAAGAAGCCATACAGTCTGTATGGGAAGGGGGGCAAAAAACCCTTATTTAAACACAGTGGAAGACAGTATGAGTTGAAATTCAGTTCCTTAGCTAAGTCCCCTCAGCTGAGCTCCTCGGGTGCTGATGTCTCAATCAATAATCTCACATATCATAATTACAGTCAACTCTCCGTGACCTACCCCTGGATTATCCATAGCAAAATGCTAATCCCAGGTCGGCTTCTGTTGGCCTGCTCCAAGCCACAGATGCATGTACGGGAAAGAAAAACTCTTGACTAATGATATACAGGAAGACAGCTAAAAATACTCAAATGCCATTCAAGATACCCTCAAAGTGACTTGGCCTGTGTCACCCCATAGGATTATCTGCCTCACTGCTTTGCATCATCTCAAGTGAGAAGCTGTGGAGACACTCGACCACACTTCCCTGCAGAGCAGGACACGCTGCCTTCACCACTCAGTTCATGGAGCAGGCATGGGGACGGAGCCATGAAGTGTCCCTTTCCTACCCTCACCATGGAAGCAGCAACTGTAACGTGGAACGTCAAATGCTGTCAAGTGCTATGAAGTGATCAAGGCACAGTGGACAACCCAGGAGGCAACACAGTCACCTCGACCTGGGGACAAGGAGAAGCAACTCCTGATCTAAGTTTGGGAGGATGACGGGGCCAAGTGCCAGCTCTCCCCTCTAGGTGCACCAGCCAAGGAAAAGCACCTGAAGCTGATGCCCCCACATGAACAAAGGTGCAGAGGTGGCGAACGGCAAAGAGTTCTAGGGCAACTGCAAATTCTGCTTTAACAAGCAGATTTCTCAGGAATCCTTTGAACTGAACTCTTTCACTTGGGGACAGTATGAGTCAAGAATAGACTCTCTCTCTCTCTCTCTATATATATATACATATACATACATATATAGCATTATCAAAGGTAACTCTATTTGAGTGCCTGAGAATAGGTAACGGACTGGAAAATAGGTCATGGCGACCAGGATCAGAAGAGTTAGATAACTGTCGGGCCTCTCCTGCAGGGAAGTCTTTGGGGCAGCCTGATCTTATGTGGCCTCAAGTGTGTGAACATAAGCCATGCCCATTTCCTGAACACGCCCCTTTCCTGCCAGGGTCCCTGCTCCTGCTGCTTCCTCCACCCAGGGCACCTTCCATCACAAGAGAATCGCCATGGGTGTGGACAGAGTGACCCATTTACCTAACTGTCATACTGTTCCTGTAGCCACCATCTCTCTATTCTCCCCTCCTCCCTTCCCTGCCTCTGGTGACCACAATTCTGCCTCCTACCTCCACAGGGTCAACTTTGTTTTAGCTTCCACAAATGTGCCTGCCTTATTTCATGTAACAATGTCCTCCAGGCTTATCCATGTTGCCTCAAAGGACAGGATTTTATTCTTTTATAATTAATATTATTGACACCACAAGGGATGTGGCAGAAAGAAAGAAAGAAAGAACCCCCCTACAGGGCCTGGTCATGCCCCAATCCTTTTGTCTCCAATTCTCCATCCTGTCAGATTCTGAGTACGCCCACGTGCGTCCACTGCGTCTTCCAAGCCAATGAGGCTGAGACTCAAACCCTTGTCAGTCGTGTGGGATCTGGCTTCCTCTGAGCAATGCCTAACATCTGTGTTATGGAGCCAGCCAGGATTTCATTCCTTTTAATGGCTGAATAGTATTCCTGCATGTATACATATTACATTTTCTTTATCCATGTCTGCTCATGGGCTCTTAGGCTAACAGATACAAAATTATAGTTGGGAAAAAAAGGAATAAGTTTCAGTGTCTATAGCATAGTAAGGGGATTATTATTATTTATATATGACTTTAGATTACATTTTTTAAAAATTGCCAGAGGGTGTATGCACTCATTGAAGTAAGTGGGGGCTGAGAGAGAGAGAGAGAAAAATTGAGAAAGCACTCCATGGGCAATGGTCACAACGCAATCCTTTCTCCTCCATTTGTCTCTCCTCTCAGGATTTTGGGCGCGCATGCACACGAATCTGGCATGTTTTTCAAGCTGCTGGGTACAAGACTCAAACCATGTAGTCAGCCATGTGGGATCTGTCTGCCTTACCCACCATGCCATGCTGATGTATTAGTTTTTTTTAAAAGAATTACTTTTACTGAACTTTATTTAATTTAATTTGATCAGAGAGGGGGAGAGAGAAAGAGAGAGAGAGAAAGTAAGCCACCAGGTCTGGGACTCGAACCATAGCTGGCCATGTGGGAGTCTAGCACCCTCAATCACCACGCTACCTGCCGGCCCCTGTTGGTGTATTATTAACAACTATAATTTACTAAAATCTACCAGGAGCCAGACACACCATGTGTAGTCTTTTTTTTTTTTGGGGGGGGGGGCGATTTTTCGCTTTAGGGCACGTGTGCTTGCCAGAGAGACAGAAAGCAAGAAATCACCCCCCAGGGGGGATGGCCACACCGCAATCCCTTCTCCTCCATTCTCCTCTCGGGATCTTGGGCACGCACACACACGCACCTGGCATGAGTTTTAAGCCACCAGGTCCGGGACGCAAACCGCGGTCAACTACATGGGAGTCCAGCGACATAGCCATTACACTAACTGCTGGTCCCCATGTGTACTCTTTATAAATGATTTCTAGTCTTTGTGGCACTTTGGAAAGTAGTCATGCCCATCCTCCTCACCGTGAGCAAGCAGAGGCACTAGGAGGCTCAGGTACCATCAGCTAATGCACAGTGTGACCGACCGTCTGACTCATTCTTCTCATTCTTTTTGATACCAAAGTTCATGTGTCCCCACTATGGCACAACTCTCTCCCTAGAGTGCGTAATTCAAACATTCAGGAATCTATTCTACACAATTTACCCACCAGTTCTCAAAAGGGACTGAAATATGATAAAGGACAAGGTTATTATAACAGGCTCTCCGGTCTGGCTCCTGCTCCATGAGAAGTCACCTTTGCTACACCAGGTCACTGGGAGTGATTTGACTGCTCCTGGACTGGGGTCAGAATGACTGAGGTCCAGGCCAGCTCCCTGATGACGGCTGCTCCTGGTCATACAATGGTCCCGGCTAAATAAAGAGTCTGAAGGAGACTCTGTACGCATTGCCCATGAGCAGAACACTAGAAAGCTACAGATATCCTAAGCTGTAACCAGGTCCTGAAACTCAAGTTCAACATGAATCAGCTTTGGGACCAGCAGGTGGCATTAATGGTTATGTCTCTGGACTCCTGCATAGTTGAACGCGGTTCGAGCCCTGGACCTGGTGGCTTAAAACTGACGCCAGGTACATGTGCGTGCATGCTTGGAATCCTGAGAGAAGAATGGAGAAGGGACTGTGGTGGCCATCCCCCCAGGCGGTGACTTCTCACTTTCTGTCTCTGTTCTCTCTCTAGTGAGTGCACTATTGCAAAAATCTCTTGCCAAAAAATAAAAAAAACAAAAAACAAAAACCTGAAATCCGTTTTGGACCAGACTGCAGGAAGCTGTGGGTGGCAGCAGTACACTGGGAAGGACCATGCTCATGACAAAGAATTCCTGAGCTCACTGACGGCCAGGCTCTGTCCCAAGGCTTTCTATGATGGTCACACTGCAAAGGTGCTTGCTTTACCCTTTTAGAGAGCTGCTCACTCCTCATGGCTCCGCTGCTCTCCCTGGGCTCTCAGTCATTTGCTCTCGCTCTCCTCCTGGCCCTCTGGCTGGGCCTCTCTGTCTCCTTTGCCTCCGGCCCCTCATCTCTCCAACCTTTAAACAAGGGATCTCATTTGCATCTTGTCCACTTGCTTCTCAGATAAACTCATCCAGTTTCATGGCTTGAAATACCACATCAACCCTGGTAAGGTCCACTTTTGTATCCCCAGCCTGGACCCATCCCCCAGCCTTGAATACCTAATGCTTTTCTACATTTCTACAGAGAGGACAAATGGGCATCTCAATCCCCACAGTCCCCAGTGGCACTGGTTACTTCCACCCCACACCGGCTCCTCCCTAAACTGCAATTCCATCTGGCCAGTTGCTCAGGCCCAAAACCTTGGCATCACCCTGAGGCCTCCAGTCTTCCACATCCCAAATCCCACCTATCATCAAAGCCTACTGGCTCCATCTTCAAAGTATTTCTAGACTTAGTTTCCTCTTACCCACCTCCTGCGTGACCATCCACCCAATCCTCCTCATCCTCCTCTGGATTATAGTAATAATAGTCTCTGAGCCTTTCCCTTCCCACAGTGATACTGGGGTCAGATTCTCTCTGGTCTCTGCCCAGACCGACGGACACTTTCCGCCTCCTGGACAATAAAAGGCCCCTCAGATGAATCCACAAAACTCCGCATGATTCCCCGCCCCTACCCCAAATACCTGTTACCACTCTACTCTCCCCCTGCTCACTCCATTCCAGACACATTGCCTTCCATACTGTTCTACAACTACACTTAGCAAGCTCCTGCCTCAGGGCCTTTGCACTGCTCTCCCTTCTACCTGGGATGTGCTTCCTTTAAAAAAATCACATGGTCCTTTCATCTTATCAGCTAGGGCTTTCCTGATCAGGTCTATAAAATGGCACATACACACCTAATCCTGTTCCAGCACTCTCCCCTTATCCTGCTTTGTTTTTCTTCAGGGTACTTAATACCACTGGATAGTATTCATCTGTTTATGGTCCTCTCCTCCCACTAGGATGTAAGCTTCAAAAGGACAGGGATTTTGATCTATTTTGATCACTGTTGTATTCCTTGTACCCAGAACAAAGCCGGGCAAATAATAATACTCAATAAATTCTTGCTAGATGAATAAATGAGTTATACACTAGCAAACACGAATGTTCATGTTGGGAACAACTCTAACACAAATACAAATCGTAACAAAGGAGCCAGATGCATACTAAGCTGTCAGTTTAAAGTATCTGGAAAAGACCTTTGTGATCTTTTGTTTGTTTCTCCCCGCAGTTTCTGCTATAGGGTAGTGCATGCACTCCCCAGGGAGAGACAGAAGACAGAGAAAATGAGAAATCACCCCCTAGGGGGGATAGCCATTCCATTCTCCACCAGTCTCTTCTTGTGATTTTGGGCATGCACACACATGCACCCAGTGTGATTTTCAAGCCACCAAGTCTGTGATTCAAACTGTGCAGCTGGCTATGGGGGATTTAGTCCCTTAACCTCCAAGCCACCTGCTGACCCTCTTCCCCCTTTGTGACCTTCATAGGGCTTGTTTAGTCACAAAATTCTACACACGTCTATGTTAAAAGGAAATCAGATGTAAGACAAGGCTCTGTAGAACCAAAGTTGTTGCTTTTCAAATTAAGATGATCCTACCAAAGATTCCTAAGTGAGTGGTCCTCCAAGCTGTGAGGCACATCGAGACCGAATGGGGAGCAATCACAGTGCAGATTCTCAGGGCCCCCTGTACCCCTGGAGAAGATGCTGTATGATATTAAGCAGGATAAGGGATTCATATATACATATCTTTTGTAATTCTTTTTTTTTTTTTAATTTGCTATAGGGCTTGTGTATCAAAAGAGAGAGAGAGAGAGAGAGAGGGAAAGTGAGAAATCACCCCCTGGTGGAATGGCCACACCACAGTCCCTTCCCCTCCATTCTCCCTCGGAATTTCAGGCATGCATGCACACAAATCTGGCATGTGTTTCAAGCCACTGGGAGTCAGGTGGGGTAGTCCGGGACTTAAACTGTGCAGTCAGCCATGTTGGGTCCAGCTTTCTTAACCACTATGACACTGGCTGGTCTGGGATTCCTATTTTTAACACATGTCCCAGGAGATTCTGAAGTACTTTAATAAATGTTCAGGGCCAGCTTCATGACCTAGTCATTAAGGGAACTGGATCCTGCATGGCCAATCATGTGTTTCCATTCCTGGCCCTGGCAGCTTAAGACGTGTGCACGCATGCCCCACATCCTGACAGGATGGAGAAACGGAGGAGGGACTATGGCATGACCACACCCCGCTGGCTGGTGCTTCCTCCTACCTCTCCCTTTCTCTCTCCCTCTCTCTGGTGAGCACATGTATGCTCTGGCAAATGAAAGAAAGAAAAAGAGAGAGAGAGAGAGAGAGAAAGAAAGAAGAAAAGAAACATTTGCTAGGGCTTGGCTGTCCAAAACGGGAGCCGTGAGCTATAAAGACTATTTAAATAATAATGAAGATAAAATTAAACATTTAGTTCTGCTCAGCTGCAGTAGCGCACACTGGACACTGCTGCTTGCAGGCTGAGAACACGTGGGAGGCCCAGGTTTGATTCTTCACCCACCCTAAATAGCCGGCTGTGATGGCTCATACCTGGGTCTCAGCTACTCGGGAGGCCAAGATGGGATCGGACCCCTTCTCTAAAAACAAACCTGTGGCTTGAAAGAGCCCAGACCAGTCACATACCTGCTATCTTGACTGACTGAGCACTGTAGCAGTCCTTGCTGCTCACCCCAGTCTCCAAGGAGGCCTGTGACCTCTGCCTGACAAGGGCAAGGTCAAGTGTTCGAATGCGCACATGGCTAGGACAGCACAAGTACAGAAATTTCCACCTCCCAGCACGTTCTCTCAGACAGTCCTCTCTAGGGGACGTTCTTCTCCACACTGGCTTCCAAAGAGACAGGCCATGGGTGTATGTCTATCCCCCTAATTAGAATTTGGAGACACCAAACTAGACTACACATTCCCTTTCTGGAGTTTTACCTTCTTACTATTGAGTCGTCAGAAAAGTTATGACGTATTTTTCTACGCTTTACTATGCAAAAATGTGTCATGACTTTTCCGATGACCCAATACAATAATGTTTACTGGGGCTCTGATCTGGGGAAGAGCTGGAGGCCTGAGTGGCTGTGGAAGTGGGTGGAGGGTGGGGTAGAAGGTTAGGAAACATCTGTCTCTATTGTCCATTGCCACTATCTGCCAGGTAAGAAGCCCAACCCACAGGTCCTCAGTCATCCACCCGAGTCTTGTCCACCGACAGACAGATGTCACAGGCAAGCCCTGGGCAGCTGCCCTCTCCCTGGCTGGGAAGGAGATGCAGCACCCATTACGCTAAAGCTGCATCAAAGATGATAGTGACCTGGGTTGGTGGGAAAGCAAGAAATCACCCTCCAGGGAGGATGGCTAAGCCACAATCTCTTCTCTTCCATTCTCTTCTTGGGATATGCCTCTCTCTCACACACACACACACCTGGCCGGACTTTCAAGCTGCTAGGTCTAGGCCTTGAGCTGCAATCGGCCATGTGGGAATCTAGCATTTTAATTACCATGCTACCTGCTGGCCCAGTTCTGGTCACTCTTTAAATCCTGTGGCCTAGGACAGTTCCCCCAAATGTTCTCTCATTCCTCATCTTCTCTGTCGACACCTTTCCTTACACATTGAACTTTAAAGGCTTGAGCAGAGGCTGGGAGTCAAGTCTGGGGTTGGGGTTGAGAAGGCAAAGGTCAAAGGCCTTGGTGGAGTCCAAGTAGACAGTAAGGACTGCTACAGCCCAAGAGTCCTCCTGCTGCTGGCCTGGGAGACCGGAGACCTTGTTCCTTGTTTCGAGCCCTCACTCTGCCATGGCTTTAGGTGGGATATGCCAGGACCTCCCTGAGCACTGCCGTCTGTGAAGCTGACCTAACAGCCCTCACAGGGCACCCAGCCCTTGCACATTTAATGAGCATCTGGTGTGCCTAGTCCTGTCCCCCAGGAGCTCAGAGTTCAATGGATAACGCGTAACCTAACAATTAGGATTTTATTGGCGGGAGAGACTTTTGCTACAGGGCATGTGTGCTCACCAGAGAGAGAGAGACAGAGAAAGTAAGAAATCACCTTTCGGGGGACAACCATGCCCCAATCCCTTCTCCGTCATTCTCCTCTCAGGATTTTGGGCACACACATACTCATACCTGGTCTTAGTTTCAAGCCACTGGGTCCAGGATTCAAACTGCTGTTGGCCATGTGTGAGTCCAGAGCCTTAACCGCTACACGACCAGCTGGCCACAATTAGGACTATTTTTAAAAATGCATCATGATGGGACCAGCAGAAGGTGTAATGGTTACATAGTTGGACTCTCATGTAGTCGACTATAGTGTGAGTCCTGGACCCGGGGGCTTAAACTCATGCCAGGCACATGTGTACGCATGCCCAAAATCCCAAGAGGAGAATGGAAGAGAAAGGACTGCGGCATGGCTATACCCCCAGCGAGTGGTTTCTTGCTTTGTCTTTCTCTGTCTCTCTGGCAAGTGCATGTGCCCTATGGCAAAAATCTCTCTCTTAAAAAAAAAAAAAGGCAGGGCCAGCAGGTAGCGTGGTGGTTAGGGGCACTGGACTCCCACATGGCCAACCTGGGTTCAAGTCCTAGACTTACTTGGTGGCTTGCTCTCTCTCCCTCTCTTTCTCTTTCAGTCTACGACCCTCTCTGGTCAAATGAAAATAAATAAATAAATAAATAATGAATAAAGTTAAATACAATAATTTTTTAAAAAATGCATCATGACACAAGGATGTAGAGTAACCAGGATCTGAGAACCAGCTTTGCTTTAAGAAGTTGATGAGGTCCTCACAGAAGCAGCGTCTGAGGGTCCTACAGTTCAGATCATGGAGAAGAGGGGGAAAACCCTCTGGGTGGAGGCAGGAATAATTTTTTCTTCATTTTGTAAGACCGTAGATAAAACACAACTTCTCAGGAACATAAATTTAGAAAAGAAAATGTGCAGAACTTACATTAACTTTAAAGGTCTGTACCAAGCCATCTAAAAAGCGGATACTGCAGATGACTTCGGATCGTGTTTTCTCTTTGGGTAATTCTGAGGTACGTATGTTATTAATTCTTCCACCCAACGCACGTAACCGGGAGGTCATAACTATCGCTGAGGAACCTGTAATATAAGATATACCTGTTAGTGCTCCGACATGCAAATTACCTGCTACCTGGGAATGTGCTTCTCTGCCACCCAAGCCCCTTCCAATCTGCGGAGTCTGATCCTCACAATACTGTATGAGGAAGGCTAGATTTACAGTCTGGGAAAAGACTAACACAATGTGGTAGACAAACTTGGGTTGGTAGAGCAGGCAGGAGAGGAGGCTGGGCTGAGAGTGAGGGTCTCAGAACGGAGCTATCCTGCAGGGATTGCAGTGTGCACAGGGTCCTTGGGGATTCAAGTGGATCTGGCTGGGGCCCAAGAGTCTGCATCTCTCAGTGTCCCCGGGGGATGCCTATGCTGATCCCCGGTCACTCTGTGGGGAGTAAGTCATCAAACACCAGTGCAGGGCCAGACAGAAAGTTTTGGGAATCTGTAGCAAGGGTCAGCATTTTGGTTTGGATAATGGTTTATCCCCCCAAAGTTCATGTTTTGGAATACAGTCTTAGTGTGCAGTGATTACAGGTCCCCCCAAAACTCATGTATTGGGACCGGTAGAAGATGTAACGGTTACGTCACTGAACTCCCGTGTAGTCAACTGCCGTTTGAGTCCTGGACCCAGTGGCTTAAAACTCATGCCAGGTGTGGGTGCGTGTGCACCCAAAATCCTGAGAGGAGAATGGAGAAGGGACTGCAGTGTGGCCAATCCCCCTGGGGGGGGGTGATTTCTCAATTCTGTCTCTCTGTCTCTCCAAGGAGCTTGTGAGCCCTATAGCAAAAATCTCTCTATAAAAACAAAACAAAAACAACAATAGCAAAAAATCCTCATGTATTGAGATTTGGTTGTATTGTAAAGGTGTTAATCGAAAATTTAATCCCTTCATAGTATCCTAGGGTGGAGCCTTTGTGTGTGACAGTCAGTGGGGAGGGCCCCCAGGACTGAGTCCTGGTGCCCTCTCTGTAAGGACAGGAAACAGGAAGCAGAGGCCACAGGGATGTACCACACTTTGTTCTGCCCAAAGTTCTGCCACCCACATTCGGTGACACCTCTGGACCTTTCAGCCACCAGAACTGTGAGTCAATAAACCATTTCGTTATAAATGGCCCAGTCTTGTATTGAGTCATCGGAAAAGTCATGGTGCATTTTTGCATAGAAAAACATGTCATGACTTTCGGTGACCCAATATTTCTGTTAGCAACATAGTAACAGACTAAGAGAGGTAGTTTACTCAGCTCTCAGAGGGATGAGGAAAAAGCAGATTGGAGGCCCGAGATGCAAGCCTCAGGGAACCCCAGAGGCACGGACAAGGTGCAGGAAGAGAAGGCACGGAGTAGATGCAAGCTGTGCAGGAAGTACATCCAGGAAGGGAAAGGTGCCCTCGGTCCCTTAGCATCTTATTTAAGGATCCCCGCCCAGGTAAATCTCCATTCTTGTGTAGATAGACATTGGGAATCTCAAACATGAACCAGAAGCCTGGGACTGGCATTGCAAAGAAACTCATTCAGTCACTTGCAAAATTCCACCCACCCCACCTCCACCTGCCCTTTCCTAAGAAATGCCATGAGAAGCAGGGATGCATTGTCTGACTAATACGAAAGTTATCAAAAGACAACAATCTTGTTCCATAATGCCTTCACCACACAGAATTTAAAATGTCAGCTGTCTTGTTTAGTTCTTGTCTATGAATCTCAGGTGGGTTACAGACTTTTTTTCTTTTTAAATTATAATAGAACCATTACAAGTGAGATTCCCGGTGGGAGGTACAAATCAGAAACACCTGGGGGGCTTTCAAAAACTATTCAGTATCCTTGGGTATGGCAGAGGGTGACATGGAAGGGCCAGACAGTCAAGGATGTTTTCGGGAAGCTTCATGGAGTGTTCTGGGTGGTCACTAGCAGACAGGCACTGGGGGGGCTCTACACCATCCACTATAGAGCACGTGGGAAGGTGCTGGGCAGTCGCTGCACAGTAGATAAACAGGTAATCACACGATGACGTGGGGCACAACCCCACATGGGAGCCTCCAGAGGAACATCACATGGGCTGACGCCCCAGTGGCAGGCACCGAGTTCCCAAGTGCTCTTCACCTGGGCAGCTCCTCACAGCTAGAGCCGGCAGGAATAACAGTGGCGCGTGCTAGTTTAACCACAGCTAATTATGCTCCTCAGCACAGTCACACAGCCAGTTGACAACGAATGTAGGCCAGCAACCCAGAAGAGACAGACTTTCCCCCCTCACATCCCTGATTGTTACCCCAAAAGGCTCGGAACCTCACAACAATGTCACAGATAGGCATTTTATGAAAGATGCAGAAATGTTCTTCCTACGATTGTTCCTAAAGCAAACCTTGAAAAGAGCCAGCCAATGTTGAATAACTACCTAAGTGAGCCCGGCAGTGTTTTCGGATTGTCTTGAAATTGTATCTTAAACAATCTGGTGGGAACAATGGATGCTGACTAACTGCCCTGTTTCCTGTACAACAGCAATAGGGGAACTCAGGGTTTCTATGGCTTCCTTTATAAGCCTCTTAATTCTAAACAAAGCTACAACCCAACCAGGAACCCCCTGGCCTCTCTGATCACAAATGAGGATGGTCATAGCTGATGCATACAATGTGGAAGCCAAGCCTGTCCTTTGCATAATTCAAAAAACCAAACAGCTAAAGCTTTAGAATGTTTTGCACAAAAGCAACAGAAATGCTACTGTGACTATAGTTTTTAAAAATTTGTAATTTTCTGCTTTGGTGTGCTTGTCAAAAAGAGAGATTTTGAGAAATAACCCCCCAGGGGGATGGCCACTGCACACAGTCCCTTCTCTTCTATTCTCCTCTCAGGGTTTTGGGCATGCACACACTTGTGCACGGTGTATTTTTAAGGCCCCTGAGTCTGGGGCTTGAACCATTCAGTCAATTATGTGGGATCTAGCCACCTTAACGACCACACCACCATCCCACCAGCTGGCCAGTGACTCTATAGTTTTCAATCAGATTATACTTGGAACTGTATTACAGAAAGGCAACATTTCACTGTGCACATAGTAGGGGCCCAATAAACACTGTTAAGAGCTGGAATGGGATGTACCCTGGGTCCTCCATAAAAGGCATTTTTCAATGTAAAATTGTTCATGCCATCAGGTGCTGACTCCAGCTTCCAGATTATGTAGACAATCCTGATTTCAAATGCCTTACAGACACATAAATGTTCCATTTCTGAACGTTTTATCCACTTTAAAAAAGACCACTTGCTAGGGTTAAAAGGTAGATGTTATTATAGTTGCGCGTCATGCCTCTGAACAGCTCTATGAATGCAACAAACCCAGAAGCAGGAGTGCGTGGGCACAAGCTGTGGCCACCAACTGCCACTTCCTGGGCATGTGAGACAGCAGAGCTCTCGTGGTCTGTGGGCCGGGGGGGTAGCACAACCCTGGCTGTCCTGAAGCCTGAGACGGGAAGAGGTAACTCGCTACTTTATCTCCTGAGGGTCTGTCTACATGTACGACTGGGATACTTTGTGCTTTCACAAGCCCACAAACCACAGAAAGGGAGAGGAACGGGCACAACTGAGAAAGCAACCCAGCTCCACTGGATGCACTCAACAGAAAGTATACATTAGTTCTTACGCTTGCTTTTAAAAATAAGGAACTTATGGGGTCAGCAGGTGGTGTGGTGGTTAAGGTGCTGGATTCCCACATAGCTGACCACAGTTCAAGTCCCAGACCAGCGACTTGAAAATCACACTGGGTACATGTGTGTGCATGCCCCAAATCCCAGGAGAAGTGAGGAGAAAGGATTGAGTTGATTTCTCTCCGAGGGGGTGATTTCTCACCTCTCCTCTCATGGTATCTGTCTCTCTCCGTGAACACATGTGCCCTATGACAAAAAAATCTTAAAAAGAAAAAAAAAAGGAACTTAGAACTCTAGTTCAAAAACATAAGTTTAGGTTAAAGGGAAAGGGTGAAGGAGAGTAAGAAAGCAGTCTTGATTTATAAACACCTGTTCTGAGTAAGCAGTATACACAAACCAGGTTGGCTCACGGCAGGAATCAACCTAAATGATCATCAAGCTGACCCAGGTCAATACTACCACCTAGTGGCAGCCAGAGGAAGATACCTCACTTCCCACCCTAAGACTTTTTCTTCAAAGGAAACAGGGTCAGCTCTGCTCTTTTCTTATTGGTCTAAATTCAGTGTATTTCAAAAATCCCTCTCACAGTATATAAGGCCTACTCTGTAACCCAATTTCTTTTCCCTAATTTTTCTTCCCTAACAAACTCAATAAAGCTCTTTTCCTCCTATCCTTTTATGTTGTTTTTTGACTTTTTTTTTTTTTGGTGCCAGAGGGTACCTGTGCTGGCCAGAGAGAAACAGTGAGAGGGAAAGTGAGAAATCACTCTTGGCCACTCTGTAATCCCTTCTCCTCCATTCTCCTGGGATTTGGGGCATGCACACACACATGCCCAGTGCGATTTTCAAGCCACCATGTCTGGGATTCAAACCACAGTTGGCCGTTTGGGAGTCCAGTGACTTAACCATCATGCCACTTGCTGGCCCCTCCCGGTTCCAGTTTGTTTATTTATTTATTTATTTATTTATTTATTTATTTATTTATTTGCTATTTTTGAGCCTCAGATGACTGGTCTGCTGGATCCACGTGGACATTTCTAGCATGGAAAAAATAGTGCCAGTCAGGGGCCAGCCAGTGGTATTGTGGTTAAGGTTGCTGAATCCCAAGTAGTCAACTGCGCAGTTCGATTCCTGGACCTTACAGCTTGAGAAACATGCCAGGCGTGGATGTGCGCTACCTAAAATCCTAAAAGGAGGGATAAATAAAGTAGGGATAGCGGCATGGCCACGTCCTATGGGGGTTGCTTTCTCACTTTCCCTCTGTCTCTGGTGACCTCATGTGCCTTCTGGCAAATTAAAACAAAACAAAACAAAAAACCATCAGCCATGCTAGACAATGACTCATCAAATTAAGTGTGCTTCTCTTCAAAGGGCAATGTTCCATGCGTTGAAGATA